AGCTGGCAGCCAGGTTGGTTTGCATGGGGAGATTCTGGTTAACCACAGAGAGGGAGGTTTGGGGACCAGGCGGTGATGGTAACCAAGGCCAAGCTGGCTGGATCGTGGATGAATCGTCCCGCTGAGGAGCGGGTGAGCTCAGCGGGTCCCGCCGGGCTGGTTTTGGGTGAAACCCCTCCGGGCTGCGGTGCTTTGAAACGAGCACCCACATTGTGGTGGATCCACACCTTAAAGCCCTTCCCAGGCGGCTCTCCAGCCTCGCTCAGCTTGGGCGATACCTGCCTGAGGGTCTTCAGAGCCCGGCCCCGAATCGCAGCGGCGGGGACCCTTCATTAGGGGTTTTAACGGGGCAGCCTCGCTGTTTCAAAGGCATCGCTTCCCACTGGGACGCGATCGGGGACTCCAAGACGAAGCGCAGCGGGAGGACAGGGCCGATGGTCGCTGAGCCCTCCAGGCTGCTGCTGACCCCGTCTCTTGCTTCGGTTTCTCTGCGACATCATGTCTCCCTTTTTTGGGGCCTTCTGGAAGAAAGGAGTGGTGGGTTTTAGTTTCTTTAACATCCAAAGGCGTCTTGGAGGAGTTGCTGCCGCACGCGGTTGCGTCTCGCCTCATCCTCCCTCGCCGGAAGCTTCTCTGGAGCTCTGGCCACAGCTGATATGTGGGCAGCTCCCATTGGAGTTGGCACCCTTTGAGCCCCTCAAGATTTTTTTAGGGTGTTCGGTAGCTGGGAGGAGGCTTGGGAAGAAGGGAAGGACAGTGATGGGGTGTCTCATCGCTGCCTTGGGCTGTTTCGTGGTGGGTTCTCGGAGCGTGGCTGGCAGCGCTGTTTGCTCTTGGGTCAGCTCAGTCTGTTTTCCCCTTCCTTTGCCATGGGAAAGATGCTGCAAATACTTGAGGAGGCAGAAAAAGTAATTTCTAAAGGCGGCGAGGCAGAAGTGGTTGGTTTTTTGGAAGTGCCAAAGCTTCTTCAGCGCAGGGGATCACGACTGATGAAGCAGGTAGTGGTTTTGTCATTGGCTTAAGCTGATCTAGGACCACGCTGCGACCGAAAGGCACAGCCTGAAAGGATGGTCTAAGCCCTCCCTGGGTTTGTGCTGAGTTTAGGAGCACAGATCCCTCTCTGGGTCCTGATCTGAACCCAGCGGGATGCGTACGTGATGGCTCGAGCCACGCGCCGAACAGTCTGCGCTTGGTGACTGGGGAACTGGTGTTTGTGGACGTTCCCCAACCCGAGTCGGGTGGGATTTGTGGCTTTCTAATTAAAACCGGCCCCCAGAATGAGCACTTAGAAGGAAAGTGGTCTGAAGTCTGGGCAGCAGGCTTTGCTCTCAGCCCTGCCATGGAGTCAGGGACCGAAAGAGGAGAGGAAGGAGGGGATTGCCCTGAGCCAGGGATGCCTAAGATGCGTTTCTTCTCTCAGAACAAACTCCAGAGCCACCTGGAGCCACTGAAGAAGAAGCTGGATGCCGTCCTGAAGCAAAAATCCAACGAGGAGGAGAAGATCACGGAGCTGAGGGTAAGAGCCGGCTGCTCCTGGCACAGGGGATGTTCCTGCGCGTGATTCCTTTCCACGCTTATTCATTTCCCATTTCTCTGCCTTCCACCTTTCACCCTGCCAAAAAATAACCAGCCCTCAGCTAAGAAGGATGCTGAAACAACCAGCACTGGGAGCGTTTCTTGGCCCGAAGTCTGGTGAGGGGGATGAGCCAAGGGAAGCTTTTTCCCCCTCTGCCCTGCAGATTTGAGCTCTCATGGAGGCATTGTGGTCCCGTTGCTGCAGTCATTGGGATCACAAGGGCTGGAAGCTGTTTCCCTGCTGAATTAGAGCTTAATTAAGGGGGTTTTGTGCCTGAATGTGTTGTGGGAATTGGTAACCCGGGAGAGAGGACAACTTGACGTCCTTTGGGTCTGCCACTGGAGCTAAGGATGCCTTTCCTCCCTTTGCCCCGCTCCTCAGGACAAGATGAAGCTGGAGATCAAGGAATTCGAGTCGGACTTTGAGCTGCTGCACCAATTCCTCATCGGGGAGCAGGTCCTGCTCTTACACCAGCTGGAGGAACGCTACGAGAGCTTGCTGGCCCGTCAGAGCAGCAACATCAGCCAGCTGGAAGAGCAGAGCGCTGCCCTCAGCCGGCTCATCGCCGAGGCGGAGGACAAGAGCAAACAGGACGGGCTGCAACTGCTCAAGGTCTTTCTTTATTTTATTAATCCTATCCCTGGGATGGGAAGAGGGAAAGTCACGGTCAGGGATCCCGGGAGGAGGGCAGGGCCCTGCTGCCCTGCTGGGCAAGGCCTCTCCTTGTTTTTGAACCTTTCCAAAGAGCTGTAAACTTGGATCGTTCAGGTAGTCGATCTCTGGACCGTGAACCCTCGCTCAGCTCTGTGCCGGCAGCTCGTCGGAACTCTGGCCCCGCTTTATGGCGAGGAGATAACGTTAGCGGTGGGAATTTAAGCAGAGCTGCCAAGAGGGGACTAGACCTCGCTTCAGAAAGGGTCTTCATGGGAGAGTGTCCTTACCTGGAGCGCTAGATCCTTCCCTGTCCCTCCTGCCGGGGATCCCCCAACGTCGGCAGGACCGGAGGGGGAGAGCGGGATGCCCCAAGAGATTTGGGGCTGGCTGGGGGGCCTGTATTAGCGGGAAAAGCCTCCACCGAGGGGAATCCCTGGGATCTGTGTCTTGGTGGGATACTCCCATCTCCTGACCGTGGGAGGGGACTCATCCTGCCCGGCGGGGTGGTCGGCTCGTTGCAGCTCAGCACGGTGCCGAGTCGTGGCTGCGAAGAGGATTTGGGGTGAGGCGTGGTGGGATTGGCCTCAGTCCTCCCTCATCTTTTCTTTCTCTTTCCCCCCACCCGGCTGCCTCCTTTCGCAGGACATCAAAGGCACTTTTATCAGGTCAGTGACTTTCTGTTGGCATCTCCTTGCTGTAAATAGCTTTTTCTGGGGCGGCGGGGGGGGAAAACCCATGAGCTTTTGTTTTAAACCCTGAGCAGTGGGTGCTTTTGCAGGCTGGGGTTGGGCAATGCGAGGGAAAGCTCGGTTGTGCTGATGGGAACTCCTGGCCGATGGCCCCGCGGGGTATAAACGGGATTTTGGGGGATGACTGGGGACGTACGGGAGAAGAGAAAGGCTGGGAAGACATCGCAGAGTCCCTCGTGGCACCTGGCAGCCGCTTTTTGGGAGCGGAGCTGGGTGTGCCCGCGCAGACCTCGTGCCCCGGGGAGGCAGGAGCTGCTGCGAAGTCTGGAGGAATCGTTTATTGGGGTTTTTCCCCCCATTTTTAAATCGGACAAGCAGCTGCTCTTCTAACTCAGCCCCCAGCCGCTCACTGGCAGGGAGGAGGGCCGTGGCGGAGCAACGGACCGCTG